TTTCTTAATTATTTTCTAAATATACCAGGCAATGAAAAAACTATTTTTATCACCAAACCTATTTGTGTTACAGTCATAATCGGTTTTATTTTCCTGCTTCAAGTTCACACGAAGTCCACGTGCTTGACCTTTCAATCAAAATCATTCGACACTGTGCAGGTGTGCAAGTCTCGTCACACCGAAGGCAAAGTGGTACGTATCTCCAAGAAGTTTAAACATTTTTTCTTATCATTTCTAGATCTGATTCCAACATTTCTAAAAATAAAAATAATAATAAATGAATAAAATACATTGGGAATAAACACTTGGAATGATTAAGCCGCTTGAATTTGAAACCTACTCCCTGCCAATCTAAAATATCACCGCCGGCACATGTATATTTTGAACTACTATTGTTTAATGACTTTGTTTAGATGCATGTTTGTTTTGAGACTGAAATTTTTGTGCTACAAAACACATTAACTTCTATTTAAATGTTAATTAAAATATACTGGAAATACTAACTAAGTGACGGATTTACGGGAAAGGGGGGGGGGGGGGCTCTTAATTATATCTAATGGTAACAATATAAAGTTACGGTGAAAAATATCATTACTGGAGAATCACTTTTGTTATATTAATGATAATCATGTTATAAAAGCATTTCTCTCTCTCTAATTAAAGAGTTTATATTTGTAAAGTAGAAAAAAATTCTATAATGTATTACATTTTAAACAAATATTTTTTTTTTTTTTTTTCAAACCACACTATCAATTTAATTCCCTCTAAAGATATTTAATTAACTTGATACCTGCAGTACTGTTTATAATCCTCAGAATTAGTTCTAACATGTATTTCTGTATTATTTGAAAAAAAAAATGTGTTAGAAATAAATATTTTCGTATTTCTGCTGAAGTTGGTAAATTAATTGACTTCGATTATCATCTATCCATTAACGATTTATCGTCTTTAACATAACAACAAAATGTTGCAGTGCTTGAAGCATCTGTATATTGTCCGTATTTAAATTTAATGTTTCAGCATCGTTCTACATAGGTACATACATGTACTTATAAAAACATTTTTTTTCCAGATAAATTTTAATAAATAACCTAACAGCTAAGTTAGAATAATGAAAATAAATATTGTAGATAATTTTTTCTTTAAACACGATATGTTAATTATTAAATTTGTAAATCCTTACTTTAAAAAAGATAAGTCATTCACTTCGGAGTTCCGAATGACAATAAAGACTGAACGATAAGTGAACGCTGAACGCAAGGTGAACGCAAAGTGAACGAACGAAAAGCGAACGCTGAACGCTTTGTGAACGGTGAACGCGAGCGCGCGGTGAACGCTGAACGCAAAACTGTGAACGGAGAGCGAACGGTAAACGCACGGTGAACGAACGGTGAACGCACGCTGAACGAACGGTTAACGAACGGTGAGCGAACGGAAAAATGGGAAAGTAGAACGTTTCAGGGACTGTACTTAGATGTACCATACGATAAATAGATACATACGATCAACAATAGATATAAATTGATATCATTGTCATTCCTCTCTTGATGTATATAAAGTCCACAACAATAAAATATTTCATTTGCATTTTCTTAGGAATTGTTCATCAACATTCAACATACTGTTTACATGTTTATGTTACGTTTGTCCCAGAAATCCCGCGAGATTTGTACATTTCCCTCTCACAAAAGAGCGTACTAAGAAGTATAACTCTTCCGTAGTGGAAATAGAACGTATTGCAATACACATCGCTGACGTTTAACGGGTTCATAAAAAGGGGACAGACAGTGCACCCGTCCTTTTATCGAATATTTTCTGCAAAATCTTAAACAATTGGAAATAGAGCATTATGCATTTTTTTAGAGTCCGTAAAAAATTTAAATTGGGTCGGTTATTTTATTCCATAACATATTTTACCTTTTTCATATTTGCGTAAATAAAATAGTGCATGATTGACTGGATTTATCAGTCATATTTATCAATCCAGGTCATGCATGCGCATTCTGAAATTGTAGCGATTTATTACAAATGAATATACAAGTTTAGCTTTTGAAAAAAGCTTAGACAGTCAGCCACTGGATTTTAATTCCTTGTTGGAACGTTTTCCAGTATTAGGAAACATTCTGTTTATTGAGCTTTGGTGGTGTTTTGTTTAATCAGCAAGGGTTTTTTTCTTGTTTTTTTTTTTTTTTAATCTTACTGCATACATGAAATGAAAGAAGGAGGAGGGATAATGAATTTTTAGAGGTCATTTAAAAATATCTGAGATAATTATTCATATTTCAATTGATGCAATCAGCAAGTTTTTTTTAATCATACTGCATACAGGTTATGTTAAAAAATGCCTGAAAATTGAAATTAGCAATGAAATGATTATGGATAGTTTTCCTATGACGTATATTGCCTCGGGGTTATTAATAAATTGAACTGGGTTGAATAATGAAGGGGTCTGGGGATGTAGACCTACAATATTGCGGCCATGGGGAAATAACTCTTGCTTAAATCACCTCAATGGAAAACCATCTATCATTTTTGAATTCAATTGAGAGTAACATTGAATAAAATATGAATCAAGGTATATTAATGATTATTTGAATGGACTGTTTTGATTATTGCACACAATAATTTAAGGGAATGCAATAAACTTTTTTGAACAAAGTTATTTTAAGAGTAATTAAATTAATTTGTGCAATAATTAAAAGTGTGTTCAAATAATGCATGATATACCTTGGACGCTCTATATTACAACGGAAATGCTAGTTAACACTGTTATGAAATGAAACCCAAGACCTTTTAAAATGAAATGCAAGTTAAGTGGTTGGTCCAAGTTCACATATTAAAATGATACGATAGTATCTCAATTCATTTCCCCCAGAAATGATGCTGATGTTGATTTCCATTCTGGAATTTGAAGGCAAAAATCTCAGAAAGAAAGAATCAATACTAGTGTCAATGCTTGTATTTATTCAAATAAAGAACAAAAAAAAAAAAACAAAACAAAACAAAAAAAAAAAAAAAACAAAAAAAAAAAAAAAACAAAATACGAGTTTAAAACTTTAACAATCTCTATTCTACTTTCATTTCCCTGAAATAGTTAACCATGCATGTTTCAATTTAAAAAATGAGAGACAAATGTTTAAAAAACTGTCTTTCTAAAATTTCTTTTCAATCTTAAATGCCAAGAGAGATGAAGAAAACATGGACAAAACAGACCTAAACCTGAATGGCATATGCACAACCTTAGTAAATAACTATATTTCTAATACTACAATATAAAGTACAAGTAATCAAAATTATCCGAAGAAAAAAAAGACAAATTGCCCTTTAAAATGAAATGTTTTGTAAGAGTACAATGATTTTATGTTCTTTTATTAAGAAAAGAATGAAAGCAAATGTAATTATGAGTTCAGAAATTTTTTTCTTTATACCAGTAAAAAAAAAATATAGACACAAATGAGTATGTTTTTTTAATTAAACAGAGTCTGTGAGTCTGTATAAGGATTCAAAAGGCTTACAAGAATTTACAACTACATGTACAATATAATTAAAACTTACACTTGTACAAGAGGTAGATGAGTTACCTGAGTTTAACAGATTTTAAAACTTCAAGTAAAAATGTACAAAAATAATATATACTTGAGGACAATATAGTAAAAGGAATGTGAGTTATCATTTTAGTAAACAAAATTGCCAATATCTTGTAAATTATGCAAGAAATGTACCACTTGTTATTAGTCCCCTACCGGTGAAACCGGAGGGGACTATAGGTTTCCTCTGAGTCTGTCCGTCCGTCTGTCCGTCCGTCTGTCTGTCCGTCTGTCTGTCTGTCTGTCTGTCCCTCTGTCTGTCTGTCAGTCTGTCCCACTTGGTTTTCCGCACTTTTTTCCTAAACGCTTGCAGATATTGAGCTGATTTTTGGTATGTGAGTGTATTTTGATGAGTTACAGATCAAGTTTGAATTTCGTTCCGCTTCATTGATTTTTGACGGAATTACGGCCTTTTCAATTTTTACGGGTTTTCCGCAATTTTCTTCTAAACGCTTGTAGATATTGAGCTGATTTTTGGTATGTGGCTTTACTTTGATTAGTTATAGATCAAGTTCGCATTTCGTCCCGCTTCATTAATTTTTGACAGAATTATGGCATTTCCAATTCTTAACGGGAACCAGATTACATGCACTTGCCGGTAGGGGACTAATATTGCTAATGCAATACTCTCAGAATGCTTGCTGACTAAGCAATACATATATGGTACAAACAATGTTGGAAATTACCTAATACAAATAGCAGCTTCTCATACACATGCCAGAAATATGCCAGCTTATGACTATTTGTGAAAAAGAGCTACATCATCACAAAAATGGATCAACTAGCTATGTTATAAAAAATGCAAGTCAAAATATATTTACACAAGATGCATTTAGAATTTCACACCAAATAACAGAATTCCTTTAAAAAAGAAAATCATCATAGACATGTTAACTAAACACTGTTACACACATTCACTGGTATTAACGGTGTAAATGTTTATCGGTTACAGGTGTATGTATACAATATTAATGTACCAGTATTGTATACATTAAAATTTTCTACAAATCTTATTGAAACCTTTATGCATCTTTAATTAATAACACAGTAAGTGTTATACAAGATACAATCAAACAATTCTAAAACAAAGATAAGCAATGATGTATAAAATATATACAAACCAAAAAGAAATTAAGAGTAGTTACATAGCAACAAGTTATGAACTGTAATTTCTACCACATCAATTGTATTCACTTCTCTTGATTAATAATAGTAAGTATCGTTATCAATCCAGTCCAGGAAGAACATTATGGAATAAGTCCAGAAAGAACATTATCGAATAAGTCCAAGAAGAACATTATTGAATAAGTCCAGGAAGAACATTATCAAATCCAGTCCAGGAAGAACATTATCAAATCCAGTCCAGGAAGAACATTATCAAATCCAGTCCAGGAAGAACAATCTTTTGACACATTTGTTAAGTTTTAAAATTTTCGAATGGTTGTTATCTTGTTACTTTGAAATGAAAATTTCACTCGAATTGGCATCTCGGCCTTCAGGTTATTCAAGGTATCATCTTTGTTGTTTAAGTCGGTTTTCAAGTTCATGGATTCTAACAATTGTAGCAGTCCTTCAGTGAAAACTGTGAAGACACTCATTTTATTTTCATAATTGATGAGTAGTTTTAAAATGCCACCATAACCAGCAGAGTTAATGGTGTACTGAATTGAACAATTTGGACAGCGGAAGTCTTCCCCGACCTTTTTCTTACAGCACTTTTGGATAAGGCAGCACCTATAAAATTATATGAATTAATAATTCAGAGGGGAAATATGAATAAATTAAGATTATGAATTGAAAACTCTGGAACATTTTTTAAATTCATTAACTATACTTTACAGTGTTGCCATTTATACCAATAGTGTGCTTCTTACAATTCTTTTATGTGTTACAAGCATTAGTAATCAAATTGAATACTTATTAAAAGTGATACATGTATAAACAATTGACAATTTTTACCTGTAAGTAAAAAGGCTCTCAATTCCAATTATGGTCCCAGTTGGCATAACTGTACTTTCCTCTTCACTATCTTCTTCGTCATCAGATATTTCAGCAAAGGAAGGGATGAACTAAAAATCAATTCTTTCCATTAAATCACATGAGAAAATCAGCGACATGAAATATAGGTTAAAGCTGTAAAAAATTTAAAACTGTGAAAATAATTGACACAAAGGAATATATAGAATGAAACCTTACAACATTATAAAGAAAAAAATATATAACTATTTAAAAGATGTTGAAAGAAAAGTTCAGGAAAAAAAGAGGTATAAAAATTTAATTAATAGTTTATAAGTTACCTCTACTGCTGATTGAGATGATCTGTTCGAGAGGACAGGTTTCTGTGCTTTTGTTTTGGCATCGTATGTTTGAGTGGTTGTAAAATTATGCAGAGCAACGAAACTGCCTTGTTGAATTGGTGTATCAGCGAAATCCCTCCACAAAGCCACATTAATGATACCACTTCCATCCTTTACTTTAAGTCTTTTAAAAGGAACCTCTTCCCCTGTGTTTCTTAATCTTTTTGTGGTAGGTGAGCATGCCTAAAGGTGAAATAAATTAATATTATGCTCAATTACCATTAAGGGAAAATAAAGATGAAAATTAAATGTTAATTATCCCATATTAGAATTTATTTATCAGATATATTGTATGTTGTAACAGCTAGGATACATACAAGGATAACTTTCCCTTTCACAGACACTGTGCTTTTCAAAGGTGACGTTGCTGCATTTATTACAGACAAGCAGTCTGGTTTCTTTTGTGCCATGTCTAGGACCTCCTGTGGTACAGTTACCATTTCTTTATTTGTTGTAAAAACATTCGAGACTTGAGTTACAACCAGACTTCTACAATGAACACAGTACAGAATAATATATGTGTACATGTGATAAATTTATGAAAGACATTTCATTAACATGTAAGACTTTTAAACTCTCATTAAAAAATAATGTAAGGAAATATTTACCCATCTGCTTTTTTTACGAAGTCTGAAAGGATAACAGCTTCATTTACTCTAAATAAGGGAAATTTTCCAGTATCATAGATGTTGACCTCTGTGTGAGTTTTAGTATCAGCAACTTTTGCTGTCATCATTTGACTTGCTCCTTTTTTTTTTTGGAAATGTATGATGTCGGAGCTTGGACTTCAATCACTTTCACAGTTAGGAATGACTTAAGTGTGTGTTCTCCCTGCAGGTTTTTCACGTCTTGTAATGTTTCCACAACTGTTAAGAAAAAAAAGTTCTTTTATCATTCAGTGGAAAACAAATAAAATAATAGGCCTATATAATGCATTTATTTACAATATTATATTTCAAGTCATTTAAATTTGACTTACCAAATATCTTTAAAGAAGATTCCAATGCTTTGGGTAATATTTGAAATAATGAATACACTAACTAAATACAAACTTTACACAGCATTTTTTTGTTAAATTTTCAAAAGGCAGATGTAATTAGATGCAAAGTAACTTCAACTGTGGTATCTATATCTCTAATATGCATTTTAACATAATTTGAAAACATTTTTTTGTTACTGTTCATCTTTTTTTCTGTGTAATCTTACATATTCTTCAATAACACTTTGATCAGCAGTTATTTTATTTAAAGCTAGGCTTAATAATTGTACATTTTCTAATGTTCTAACTCTACTTAGAGCAACATAAGCTTGGCCGTGCTGAAATAATGAGTTGTTCAAAGATATTGCTGCTTTATCTAAGGATAACCCTTGCACCTTATGTACAGTTGCTGCCCAACATGGCATTAATGGAAACATTTCTCTAATTATATAGCGACCATGACTTAAAAATTCTTGCCTGTACATCGACAGAGTTACTGAACCATTGCTATTGCAGACACTAGGTGGAATCTTTTCAGAGTTGTTAAACATAACATTTAAAGTATTTACAATTGTTTCATTTTCACTAACTAATACACTAGAAATTACACCACGAGCACCATTTATTAATCCATATTTCACACATAAATTTCTGAGCAACATAACTTTTGTACCAATAGATAGCACCAAAACAGATGGTAGTCCACCTGCATCTCTATCATCTTCAGGTATTAATTCTTCATCAACATCTCCATTTACGTTAATATCATTATCTGAGAAATAATGTTTAGCACATATGCTGTAATTTGTTGCATTTATGTTGCTTTGAATTGCACAGTTATGATTTTGAACTTGTTTTCTTGTAGCATAGATGTACAAAATGCTTGGATCTGCTTGATCTTGTGCATAAATTCTACGTTTTAAGATATTAACATCATCAGAATTCATTTGGCCAATGCGCACACGATTTAATAACTGTGCATAGTCTGAGTCATCAGATTGCCTCATATTCTGTTGCAAAAAAAAAAGGTTTAAATAAAGGCCAAAGAATTTCATGCTTGAAAGTAAATTCTCCTCGCACTGGACGTAGCTGAAAGAAGTCTCCAACTACTATGATATTTAATCCTCCAAAAGGCTGGTCATTATTTTGAATTGTTTGTAAACGGTTATAAATAAGCTCAAACATTTGTGAACTAACCATGCTTATTTCATCAATGATCACTGTATGCTTACTTTTTAATTGAGTACGCTTTTTCTTCAACACTGTAGCAGACAACTGACTATTATTAAGATGGTAACCATGTTGAACAGGTAATTTCAATGCAGAGTGAATTGTTTGACCATTTATATTATGAGCAGCCACACCTGTAGGAGCAAGAACTAAAACAGGATCATGCCCAGAGAATAAAGCTGTACAAACCCTGAAATATTGTATGAGAAATTCAATTAAATAACTTTTCCCCACACCAGCTCCTCCTGTTACAAACATCTGAAATATTTGCTTCTTCAACATTGATTGTTTTATGTATCTAAATACATGATATTGATCTCGAGTTAGTCTTTTAAGTTTTCCAGCCAATGTATTAGTATCAATACATGCTGAAAGACAGTGCCATTCCATATCTGTGCTGTCTAGATCCAAACAATTGTCTGTCTGAATTGTTGCATTTGAAACATCTTGTTCTGAGATTAAATTAGAAATATTTTCTGAGTCTTCAAAATCTTCATGTAATGAAAAAGGTTCAGTTTCATTTTCACAGGTATTTGGAGCCATCATATCAAATTCAATGTTTGGCAAATGAATAGATTGAATTATTGAGTCTAACTCTGGCATTTGAAACCCAATCTGTATTGCTTCATTATCAAAAAATCTGTACTTATTTAAAAACGCATCTTTAACACAAGAGTAAGGTTCTAAAAATTCCTGTGCATTTCTATGGGGAAAAAACAGAAGTAAATAGCTGAAGTAATAATCATCGCTACCCCGTCTAGGTTTACAACTTCTAACAACTGCTGGACGTGTGCGTCTTTGTATGTAAACATCTCCAGGAATTGGTAATTTGTAACTTTCAATTGTTTTAGCCAATTTCCGAACTACTTTAAACTGCCGACAAAATGAAAACAATGACAAAGAATTAAAGTGTGTGGGTCTAACATAGTAGTAGTCATATATGTTGTTTTCAAAAATGTCTGTTGAATTTAGTGGCAGTTGGTTTAAGAGACTTTGTGGTTTTAATTTTTTAAATTGTTTCTCAGGAGTGTATGTCAGAACGTTTACAACTTCCCTAGAAAACCATGTCAACTGCAAATGACCTATTCTATATGCTGCTTCTTGGGCACTTAAAGTTCTATGTTTTAGAATACAAAAGCCAATTTTGCAGAGTTTTGACCTTAATGGTGGTGAATTAACCGAGTCTTGAATGTTTCGCAGTGTCTCAGCTAATGCGTTTTTTAAAGTATTTGGTTCTGATTTGCATATATAGCTACAAACATAGTATGCAACACCAAAAGGTCCATTTACCATTTGGATATCCATGTTTGCTTGCCAGTGAAGTAAAATTGTTGGATTGTAAACATTAACCATTGAATCTTCAGGACCTCCTTTAGTTTCATAGAATTTTTTATTTCCAGTAACATCTACTCCAGCAATAATGTGTGTTTTATTGCATGGCTCATAAGGGAATGAAAATCTACAGGAATTCCCCCTTAAACATGTTGGTCTATGACTATGAATTTGATATTTTTTTACATATGAAGAAAGAATACTACTTTCATTTCTAGGAAAGGTTGTATGAATAACTCTGTCTATGTAATTTACCAATTCATTTTGAGATGAACTATTGAAAACAGATGGCACATTTTCAATCCAAAAGAAAATATGCAAATGTGGACTTCCTCTTGCTTGGAATTCAATGCGAGCAAAATAGTCAAGTACTTTACCAAGAGGCTGAGCAGGACCATTCACTACATAACGTAACAGTGCTCTCCATCTTCTTTCAAAATGTATTCAGTTAAAAGTGGGTTTTTTTGAACAGCTGATGGAAGTTGGTCAAGAGGTACATTTAAAGTACTTGCCAATTCAGGCCAATGATATTCATTAGCAGAAAGTGTCATAAATAATGTTGGACAACCAATATTTCTAATCATGGCTAACAGATTAAACAGAGTGTCTTTCCAGTATGCCACAGTCCCCCTGATCTTTTTCATGAACATAAGTTGTTTACCAAATCTGGGTTATTATTTAAAGATTGCAATTCACCTAACTGCAATAAACTTTGTCCAGATGAATGTTTCCGTACTCTCATTTAAACAGAAACAACCTCAAATAATTTTAATTTTTCAAAGGTGTTCACTGGACTTAGGAGGTATGATACATTTGTCCTCCAGAGGTCATCAATATTATATAACCTTGCTTTATAGTACTGTAATAAAGTTAACTTTTTCAATCTCTGAAAGTTGTAGCCATATTTTCCGTAAGGAAACAAAGTTGGGAATGCCATTTCTTCTCCACTTTGCAACTTGATTATATCTTTAAGTGAAGAAGAAATGGGTAAATTATAAGAATTACAATTAAGCCGGAAAACATCTGACATATTTATGTCTGGAATGTTATAATTTTGTTCTATTGTTCCTATTTCAGGTATATCTGCTATGTCATAAGTTATTTCATTTTCAGAAGCAGATAAAGAGTCCAATACATTCTCTATATCTAGGTCATTGTACAGCTGATTATTGAGCATCAACCATCTTAATGCACACTCCACTTTACCCACATTTACAGATTTTGGAATTCGATTGTTACTTGATGGAAATATTATTGCTAAATTTTGATCATTCATGCAAGATTTCAGTCCATGCAATACGTCAGTTACATTCAATGGCAAATGTATTACTAATCCTTTCATACCAAATTGACTGACTGGAAAAGCAGGCAACAACACTAATGAGAAAAAAGTGTTTAACTGTGAAATGCACCTCTTCTCTGAAAGGGAGAGTCCTTCTAATTCTTTGGGTATTTGGCCAGCATCTAAGTTATTAAGAACATAATCCAAAGGAGGCATATCTCCTTTTTTTAAGCATGTGTAACAAAATCTGCATAATGAACACCCCTTTGACACATTGAACTGCTCAAATACTTCTCTGGAAATAACAACTTGATTTTTAAACAAGATCCGCTTGCAGACAATGCAAGAATGTTCTGGTTTCATGTTTATCTGATTAACAAATTTCTGACACCTACTGACTTGAAAAGTAACATTTTGATGGGACCTATCAAGTTCTGCAATTGGGGCTTGTTGTAAGTTGTCAATCAAAGTGTTTAAAGGATGTTGGGGCATATGTACATTGAGTACATTATCTTTAGAAATATCAACATTGAAATATTCTTGATTCAAAGAGTAACTATGATCAGTTTGCAAGACGGGTCTACTTGGATGAGAATTTCCCCTGGAAAAATTGAAATAATCATGGTCAAGCATTACATAATATTCATCATCATAGTCAACATTTTTAGTCGTGCACGGTTCTTTGCCAGAAAAAAATTTTTCCCTGCAATTTCCCATCATTTTTGTCTGTCTTGCTTTTAAATGACATATTATTAGGTTTTCCTGCATTTGTCTGATTTGTCATTCTTGAGTTAAAAGCAGAGTTAAATATAGCTTTTCCTGGACAAGAAGAATTTCTTCTTACTGTTTGAAATGGATTAACTGTTTGAAATCTGACTGATGATAACTCAAATGTTAAACCACTATACTCTGTTGTTAAATATCTTGATAAAGATTCCAAATCTGTGAAAGTAAGTATTACAGCTGTACCATTACTACATCTTGAGCCATCCTGATTACAGCTGTGTGAATCAAACACAGAATACTCATTTGTTAGCTCATTGTGTGACAATGCAAATGAATATTCAGAAAAAGTAGCAAGCACACTTGAGCTAGACGAAAAAGCATCAGCAACCCCTGATGATATATTTACAGAACCAGAAGCAATATCACCCCTTTCCCCAACAATTCCATACCAGGATACTTCATTCACAGATACTTCAAAATCCACCCCATGATTGAACAAGTTATGCAAATAATGTGGTATTTCATTATGCTGCAAATTTCTGGGTGATATTTGAAGATTTTGTATTGTTTCAATATATCTGTGGTGTCCTTCTTGAACTATTCCATCAATATTTACAAATGTCCAGTCAGTAATTTCCGAATGAAATGCAAGAAAGCATAAAGCTACACATGCAATGACAGTACATTGTCTTCCTGCATATGCAAGGTCAAAAAAAGGATATCCTTGGTGTAATGATCCTTGAAAAGATCTCATGATAAGGCATTCAAAAATACCAACTATTTAAAAAAAGTGGTTTTTAAAACTTGCTATGGAACAAATACAGTAATTAAAATTACTTACCTCCTTCACGGTCCTCTTGAACAGTACTGCTAGAGTCTGAAGACATTGCCATTTTGGGTGTCACTGACAGAACGTAATCCCATACACAGATAGAAAAGACTGAACTAAAAGTTGCAACGCAATTTCCATTTTTATACTCAGGTTGCGGACGTCGGTGAAGGCACCCTTAGCTACAGCCGTTAAGACAATGGGCGAGCCGCCCTTCTCACCGAATTTGTGTTTCATTGTCTATTTCACTTTATTGTTCCATAACAGTGTAGCCATACGTGAGCCCCAAATATACACGATTAAGAACGAACAATTGAAATACATAATCTGGGTAGTTTTTAAAGTACATAACTTTCAAAAAACAGTAAATATTTTAAAGAAAAGGTAAATAAATGGGCCGTACTTACAGGTGCCTTGATTGTTAGAAAGTATTTAAATCTTAAAAAACAATGTTCCACTATAGATATATCATATGAACGTAAACATAAATCTTAATAATACTCAATGAAAAGGTTTCAAGGGTCACGCATCACGCATACAATGATATTACACATTTATATGCTTCGCTGCGTAAAACACAGGTAAGAACTGCGAACCAGCTATTATCGACCAGTTTACTTTAAATGCTGCAAGACGAACCGCTTTCGGCAAACCTCGGCTGATTCCGTCACCTTCGTCAAACCTAAGCGGCGCCTTTGAAAAAAAAAGTCCGTTCAGTAAGATCTTTTTTTTAGCTATTTACCTGTAATAACAGAGACACGACGTAGAGAATAGATCTATATATTTTCATTTTAAAATCACTATTACGAAAATCTTTTACGAAGTTATTTGGAATGACTTACTTTAGACTGCGAACAAGTTAAAGTAAACGAACCAGTTTATTGTGAAACCTCTGGGAAATGTTTTCGTTAAGTAGCTTTATTATCTGAGCTAAAATTTGCCATAAGTTGTTGAACAGAATAATCTGTATGAAGAAGAAAGTATGCATTTCTTTGTAAACCAATACACAGAATTCTTTATCCTGTTATCATGGTTATTTAGCTGTTTTACGTTCATTAGTTTCCCACAATTCCTAGAGCGCAAGCGCATTTGAAGTTCTTCGTATGATAACTAGTCAGCCCGCGGGCTGACTAATTACTGCTGAAAAATGTATCCCACTCTGTACTCATAATATTCAAGAGAGATAATAAAGAGGGAAGGCGTGTAGATTTACGCTCAAATTTTATCGATTGAAGTTCAATACATTTTAAAGTATAAAATACATTTTGTATTCATAGTATAATTAACACCGAAGGACATAATGTAAAGCCTATATTTAAATACACTTGCACCTCTTGATTCTGAGAGAGGTAAAGTGGCCTGGCGGATTTTGGAAATAAATAGTCTGTCTTGAAAATATTGAAAATAAATTATTTGTCTTCGACCGGCAAGAAAATAAATAGTCTGTCCTTAACTAGTATTTCTACCCCCCCCCCCTCCCCCCGAAATAGAGTTTCCCTTTTTTTCTTTTGCTTGTCAACCTTATTTCAGAGTAAAAGAAAAGAAGAAAATAAATAATCTGTCCTTGACTGATATGATGATATGAAGATAAATAATTTGTCTCGAAAATTTTTGCTAGCCCGCCCCCCCCCCCCTCTTTCAAAATCAACTGGTCGTCCCCTAATTGGACGCGTAGTGTATGCATGCATTTTCTTAAGATGTATATATTATATAGGCTATAACAAGGAACGATCGTCTCTACTTCTTTTTTTTTTTTCACTTTTCCGGCTTCCCTCCTCTAATCTACTTTTTTAAAACCACCATTCATTCAAGATACGTAGCATCTTTATTTCAAAGAAGAGTAAAGAAATAACTGACAAGAAAAAAAAAGCCTAAAAAGACTGACAAGCTCAAAAATTAGAATAACAAATATCATCATAAATAAATTTTAAAAATAGGAAGTTTCAACTCAAAATTAAGAATTGGAAGGAGAAGGGGTTCCTTCTCTTATATTCGTCAATTTTTAGGCACAATAACGGGGAAGAGCATTTCAAGAATGAATTCGCATCGCATAATTATTAAACATTGTATTAATATGTGATAAATTTGTCCCACAATTGCTGAAATTGCACCTGTATCCTTTCTTAAAATTTGTCTACTGATAAAAACAATCAGAGTGTCAAATTTTTTGCCCCAAAACGATTTTCCGACAGTGATTTCATTTTTGATTTGTGTATTTGATATATAGACCTTGGGCTAAACTATCTTGTCATAATATAGCCAATCAAATAAATGAAAATACCAGATCATATATATTTTTCACACAAATATGATACAATAGAGTGAAATACATGTATGCAGCCACTAAAACTTTTCTTTAGAGAGAGAGAGAGAGAAGAAAGAAGCTATCGAACGTGCATTTTTTTTTTTTTTTTTTTTTTTTTTTTTTTTTTTTTGTAAGCAAAGATATGTACATATACTAATTTAGTATTTTGACATAATTATTGACAATTATGAATACGAGTTCCCTTCTCGGCAGAAGTATTCGTTAACGTGTGGATATTTATAGTACATTATACAGGTATAATAAGGTTGTTTGTTGTATACACGTAGATCTATGTACTCAGTTCTAAAGTCCTTCCGTTCATGGTTTAATACATACACGGAATATATTTTTTCAAAGAAAAATCATCATTTTCAGCAGTGATTTGAAACAAAATACTACCATCCCAGAATGACCAGGACTGATACGGAAACATCATGCTTGATCAGGCACAACATTTTATGTGGCGTATATACAAAGGCAGTTATACAAATGGCAAATTTTCTATGGAATAAAATAATCACCTCAAATTCAATTTATTATGGACTCTAAAAAAATTCATAATGTTCTATTTATTCGATAAAAGGACGGCTTGACTGTCCTTTGAGCCAAGCCATATACTGATAGGCGAAGCATGTGCAATTTCTTTGTGGATTAGCAGGAACATATAGTGCTAAATCCTGCATTTTAAGCAGGCATGCAAATATGCACGTGGAGTTCTTAAATAAAATTCCTGAAAATTTAAATCATAACATTTGTTAACTCCCTAGTGCCCCGAATTCGAAGTTATGAGTGGTCCCTACCATATAAACCACTCATAGCTCAAAATCTACTACTGTCTATAACTTACATGTAGCATAGTCCATATGGACCGGATTCTTCTTCTTTCACTCAATTGATCTTCCTGTCCCAATTCTAATATCATGCATGAATTTCAACATATCTTGACCTTTTGTCATTGTGTAAAGCAGTAAACATACTCATATAAATCAAAAATGCATTAATATTTTTTTCTCAATTGCTACAATTTTTACGCTGGTTTTGGACCTTGAACACAACTGACATCATTTCCCATGACAAAAACTCTGTCACCTGCATTATCCTCAATGTTATGGTTTTCAGTAGAATTTTTTTAAGGGACAAATCATTATTTTTGTCTTCAATAATTTTCTGCCTAATTGAAGAATTGGCTTTGTGAGCCAGAGAGAACTGCATTGGATTTATATGGGGTGAAATACAGTCTTCCATATTAATAATTTCATTACCTTGGGGGTCTGAAGAATCTGAATTGACGGTGCTTGCTGTGCTTGTCGAGGTTGCATGATGATGGAACGAAAGTGTTGCAGCCGACGCTTGGATTTCTGGAACTTCTCTTGATGAAGCTGAATTTGTACCATCACGGCTCCCTTCATGCCCCGGACGCTTCGGCCTTGTGTCCTCAACTTGACCTCTCTTGACCTTCGGCATTTCAGCTAAAAAAAATTATATAAGAATATTTACATTCTAGAATTATTTAAGCTTGCATAATTATTACGCTTTAGGCCCTAATAATACATTCGCAAATAAGGCTGCGAGATTCACACAACATCGCTTTTCCTTAGATGCTGCAAATGTCCCATGTAAACCTGATTTTTGTGTTAGTGTGTGTGTGTGTGTTTGTATGAAAACTATTTCAAAACTAAAAATTGGCCATGGAGCGAAATAATTCATATTACTTTAATTAATGCCAATGAAATCAATTAAAAAAAAAAAAAATATTTTTCTTAAGTGTCAGTAATGATAGATTATTTAAAATTTTTAAAATGAAAATCAAACACTTTAATCAAGCGCCTTTGATGTTCACTGATGCATGATAAAGGGATATAACCCGAAAAAAAGAATGAATAAATACCAAATATCGAGTAGACGATCAAAATCTTGCAATTTTCAAGAGCAAAATAGATGTTAAGACATATAACAAACAAACAAACACACACCCACACACCCACCCACCCACACCCACACCCATATATATATATATATATATATATATATATATATATATATATATATATATATATATATATATATATATGTATATATATAGATAGATAGATAGATAGATAGATAGATAGATAGATAGTTACCGCATGTAAGTTCACCCCTTGTATAATTCAAACATACAGTAACGGTGTAGTTGTTTTATTTAGTTTTTACTTCTATTCAGTTGTAAATAAAAGAATATATATATATATATATATATATATATATATATATATATATATATATATATATATATACAAACCCTTACTGTATGTTTGAATTATACAAGGGGTGGGCTTACAGGCGGTAAGATAAAGCGAGGTCCGCTTCAGAAAAGAGAAGACTCTGAACTGACCCCAAGCGATGTGCACTCAAAGGACAAGAAAATGTCTTAATAGCAGACCCCTACCAAACACTAAGCGAACCTGGAGATAACTTTTAGAGTTTGCTCTTGTGTTAAGTTGTGCATGTGCCAACCCCCCCCCCCCCTCCCCTGTTTTTTTACTTTTATTTAGTTGTATATGAACAATTACCTTTGTTGCTTGAATCTGTAATAGAAATTGTGATGTCCTCTTTGAAAAGACCAACTGCTGAGAGGAGATCTGGATCGCTGAAAAAATCCTGCAAGAATTTATTCACTATCCCTTTGTTCATATCATCAATAAATCGATCGTACCCTTCTTCTGTTGCGAATACCAGATTCAAAAGGATACTTCCATACTGAAGATGCAAATCGCTAAGGTTGTATTTTTGTTGGAGAGTCGATACAAACCTTACAAACTTATTAAGAATAGCATTTTTTTCCTTTGGGTGCATTTTTTCAAGCAAACACATTGCAGATCTTTTTTCATCATCGCTTGAGACACTATTCATATATAATTCAAAACTGCTTTGTAGCTCACTGATATCATTTTCTGTTGATCTTTTATTGATTTCGTCCATAATAAGGTTGAGTGTGTCCTTCATGATATCACTGTATGTTTTAAGTTGACTTTCTTTTGATGGTTTATTTGCTTTTATTTTGATAGAAAAAACCTGTCGTATACCTGTAAATGTTAAAACAAGACAGTTACTTTCTTCCAGAGACAACATATACTAGTATTATATCAAGCAAAACGTAAATCAGATTTACTGTACCATGTTATTGATGTACATGTAGATAAACATGTTCAATTTTTGTTCTATTTTTTATGCCTTCTTACATAACCATAGGAGGGTTTACAATTAAAATTTAAACTCTAAAGTCTTTAAAATCATTGTTCAGAAAAATAATGACTTGGTTATTATACTCAATGTCAAACGTGAAAGGTCTAAATCATAACAGCTGTTGAATTAGAGTTTGCCCAATGGCAATGAAACTATGAAATGTGTAAGGCCCAAAATTCAATGTCAAACCACAAAGATCAAGGTCGGTCCACGCAGAAAAATGCAACGAGGTTAAACTGGATGCCATGGGCTTACGTATGATTAAGCGTGCACCAGAATGCTTTAGACGTTTCGTCCCTAAGACATCTTGCTTTTAGGATAATTCGCCCTCTTCGAATTAGAACTCACCAATCATTGGCAAACCTCGCTTAAAATCTGCACATCATATTTTTTAATTAATTTTAATTAATTAGCGTATCCAAGATCCGAATCTACTCTTTTATACATTATATGTAAAAAAGAAAGAAAAAAAAAAACAAAACAAAAAACAAGATGTGTTTGTGAAACACTGATGCCCCGTATGGCAACTTATAGCAAAGGTTAAACTTTCTCAAATGCAAATCAAATATGTTGGTACCCAAAGTACCAACATTCCTTGTCTCGAGGAATAAAATCGTGAAATATGAAAGCCCTAGCAGCAACCATTGAATAGTTATAGAAAGGTTAAAGGTTTTCAAAAGTAAGTCAAACATCAAGGTCAAATGGTCAAAATTAATGGTGCCTTAAGAAAGGCCTTCTCACAAGAAATATACAGGTGAAATATGAAAACTGAAGCACCAATCGTTCAAAAGTTATGACCAAGGTTTAAGTTTTTCAAAAGTAGGTCAAACTCCAAGGTCAAGGTCAATGGGTTACAATTGTTGGTATCCAAAGGAAGACCTTGTCACAAGGATTACATATGTAAAGTATGAAAGGCCTAGCACCAACGGTTCGAAAGTTATGGCCAATGTTAAAGTTTTTCAAAAGTAGGTCCAACTCCAAGGTAAAAGTCAAAGGATCAAAGTTGTTGGTATCCAAAGGAAGGCCTTGTTACAAGGATTACATATGTGAAGTATGAAAGGCCTAGCATCAACGGTTCAAAAGTTATGGCCAAGTTTTTTTTTTTTTTTCAAAAATAGGTCAAACTCCAAGGTCAAGGTCAAAGGGTCAAAGTTTTGGTATCCAAAGGAAGAACTTGTCACAAGGATTACATATGTGAAGTTTGATAGCCTTAGTACCAATTGTTCAAAAGTTATGGCCAAGGTTAAAGTTGGATAAAATTTTGCAAAAAGTGGGTCAAACTACAAGGTCAAGGTCAAAGGGTCAAATATGGTGGTACCCAAAGAAAGGTCTTGTCACAAGAAATACACTTGTGAAATATGAAAGCCATAGCTCCAACCAATCAAAAGTTATGAGCAATGTTAACGTTTTTGCGGACAGACAAACAGACAGACAGACGGACGGACAGGGAAAAACTATATACCCCCGAATCTTCGATACGGGGACATAAAAAGAAAAAACAAAACATATTCCACTATAGCTTTGTTGTCTGACGCCACCAGCGGCAGGCAGTATAAGGATAATTTTTTCCAAGGTGCGAAGCTAAGAGGTTAAAGCTAGCAAGCTAGTATAAGGATCAATTTTTTTCCAAGGTGCGAAGCTAAGAGGTTAAAGCTAGCCAGCTAAATTTTGTACAAGCTGGTTTTCATCGGAGTTTCTAACCTTTTTTTTTTTTTGTATAACAAAAGGCAGTAGATGAAACATTATAACTGATGACACATATTGTTGTGTTTAGTTTCTTTATAACTGATTTTAACTAGGGATGACAACGAATATTCGAACATTCGATAAGTTGATATTCGAATATGAGTTACACTAAAGATTCGAATATTCGGTGTTTTTCAGATTTCATTTAAAGAGGTACTGTGATTAATAAATTTTGATTAGAACAGTGCTGGAACTATCCCTGTTTAATTTACTATCGATCAATTTCGATCGCCTGATTTCTTTCACTACTTTCTTATCTTATAAATTTATCCACAAAATAACATGTATTTTGTTTTGAGTGTTAAAGAATTGTACAATAATGTTTTATGTATAATACAAAACGTACTTTCATAGTTTTTATTAGTTAGATACGATCGGATCTAGAAACGAGGACAACAAATAAAATCTAAGGATGTCTAAAAGTCGTGAAGAGTATACTTATCAAAATAAAATTAATTGATCATTGAATGAATGTCCGATAGAATTAATCTGTCCCTAACAAATAATACTATAGTTAACTACATGTAAAGTGATAACTTTGACACTATGAAAACTTTGATTTACTATATTGATTACTTTGACACTTTGATTTACTATAGTGATAACTCTGACACTTTACTAAAGTGATAACTATGAGAACTTTGATTTACTATAGTGATAACTTTGAAAACTTTGATTCACTATAGAGTTTACTATGACACTATAGTGATCACTTTGAATACTTTGATTTAGTATAGTGATCACTTTGATACTATAGTGATCACTTTGAAAACTATGATTTACTATAGTGATAACTTTGACACTTTGATTTACTATAGTTAACTATAGTAAACTAAAGTTAACTATAGTTAACAATAGTAAACTATAGTTAACTATAGTACTTTTTTGTTAGGGGTAATTAATATTGTAAAGGGCTTAATTTCAGAATAAATGTGTAAATTACTTGATTTTCTCGGGTTGTACATAATCCTGAATTTTATATTCATTATCGGGAAAATTAGTTAATTACCTAGGAAAATTGTCTATGGAAATATTTGTTTACACAGTATCAAAGATTATAACAATATCTCTTACCAGGAAGATAATTGCAATTTATCACACGTATTGAAATCCGAACAGTATACCGTTACGACTATCTTGCCTTTTGTACACGCAAGACGACTGGTTCCTCAGTTGGAGCTTTTATAAATGCACGTTCCATTTGTTAAAATTATACTCTCTACATGCAAGTCAATTATTTATTTCAAACATTGACAAATATCAAATGGAATTTCTTATTGTACACCTACAAACGTCTTCATACAATTTTACTTCCTACGCTAAACCTTCCATGAGAGTAGGATAATGCATATTTAAAATAAAACAGATTTTATTTATTTCATCGAATATTCGAATATATTCAAATACTTTCA